CACCAATCTTGATCTGGAAAGGAGCTGACAAGGCCAGCTTTGAGAATATTGATAAGTGTAAGTCACGTACCAGAAGAAGGCGCGGGTTGACGGTTCGCTGCTCAAGCGCTGGATCGATTTGCAGTTCCCAATGGTAAATGTCAGCAATGGCAAGTTTTTTGATTTGTGACTCGATGAGAGCTCATATCTCGAAGGGAGTCACAACAAAGGGCATCTGATCCTTTCCCCACAATGTCAATTGATGATAGTTGGTTGATACCAGTTATCTTCACAAAAAATCGTCAGCATAAGTATCTCTGTGATTTCGACACGAGTTTAGTAAGTGACGTATAATAATCACTACTTTCATCTTGATACGAGCAGCATTGCACCGCGCTTGTGAGTGTGTGAGTCTCGGAATTGACGTATCTGCGGAGCCGAAAAAATTGCAAACCTCTAAGCAGGGCATAGTGTGATGTCTAGCCGGGCGAAGCACAAGACGAGATTGGTGTAATATAGTGTAGAGTCCGAATCAGCTGGGGCTTTTTTGCAAGAAAAGTAATCGGCAAAGGGCTTCTTCTGTATAGCATTCGCTGCAAATGTCTGGGGTCACTGCGGATGTGCTTCAATAATTGCATGCCCATTTGTAACGTCTTTCGTGCTCGTGACATATTATATAGCTATTGGTCTAACCTTGGTGACACTACATCGTGGCTATGCGCAATGAAGTTGCCCATTTTTGTACAGAGAACAAAAAATTGGACAAGGACATCACAATAAACACTTGTGAGCATGGATCATGTGTATTGGCTGATGTATCAGCTCGACAATATAGTCAAGTGTGGTTTTGGCGCCGATGAGATTCCATTTCCGAAATGCAACATGGTCTGGGGCAGTGCTGCTATCTTGAACAAATTCCAAGAAGTAGCTCAGAATAATATGGATCATGTTATGCCGCTTTCGACACTTGGATCTATATCACAGGCTTCGCTCAACTGTAAGAATTATGCCATTGGACCATCGCGTTAAAGACTCGACGATTTCAAGCGGTAGAAAAGAAATATCCTGCTCATGATAAGAAGCTACATGCTTTGAGGTATGTCCATGTCAAGTTGAGGAGATACCTTTTGACGTCAAACTCATAATAAGCATGTGTCAATTTGCAAAGCGGTATTGGCACTTCATCTCTCTTATAGTGGCAAGAGTATCATCCTTCTTTGCTGAGTATGTAGTCAGTGTTCGGAATATGTTTGTTCGGGTTAATTGACTTCGATTGTGCTTTTAAAGCCGGCCAGTCTATCATTACCCAATGTCACGATGTTAACGTCACGCATGTATGAGTAAAAGATATAGCGTCCGGTCAAGATGCAAAATGTTGAAGAATACTTCGGGTCGCAATTTTTTTGAAATTCGCATCTCAATATCGAAGCGCCAGGCTGCATATTCGTGACTCATCCGTTGACATAAATATTGTTGCATTTCAAAACGGACCTGCCCGAAATCTCGTGTGTGGTTATACTCGATATGAGAACCACAAGTACAGAATATGTGCGAGGTACATGATAACCTTTAAATGACACCCTCGGTAGAGGGATAGCATATATATTATCTTTACGCCATATACTTGTGGTCAAACATGTAAACTAGATAACGTTTTTACGTTCGTAAAACGTGTCTACAAGAAAATGCTTGCTTTCGCCAGAAATATACCAGCTCATCCGTAGGGGCTATATGTCTAGATTTTGTCACGCTAGAACCGACATTGATGTCTTTGTGGATCCTCATCGCAAGAAATTCACCTCTTTGGTGTCAGCGACACCGTTACCGGTGAGGATACAGCCGTGTTGTTCCTCGATTGTAGTGTTTCACCAAAACAATTGTGTCAGATAAAGATCCGCGCGTTTCAGCAACGTTATGACAGACTTTACTTTTGATGTTTTTTGTGCTCGAAGCAAGATTGAACATAACGGTCATTTGTAACTTGCAGACTGTCAGCATACAACCAGAAATAGCAGAATAGTTAAAGGCACTCGGTCACGTGGCAAAAAAAATTTCCGCTGATACTATTCACACGTGTGCACATAAGACCATACCCGCTGACACATGTTAATCCACCAGCATATTGTGTTCATTATCTAGTATGTCTCTTTTCCTTTGAGGCGGCTATCATGTTATGTATGGCACAAATTTCGGTACTTGAGGTAGGTACTACCACGGATCGAGTCATTTCTCAGATAAAGCAATCCGGATTCGAACCACCTAGCGCATTATAGTCATTTGGTACGAGCGCACAGCTCCAACGTACCATTATGAATTGTCACGAGCAGTGTACGGTGCAAACAGAACTCTGCTCTTCGTCCATCAGCGCCACAAGCTGCCGAGATTCTTTGCACGATTCTAGACAACTTAACCAAAGATTCGAGTGACTTTACGACCATCGCTTCCATTTCTAGTTCTGAGTACACAAATAGCATGTATTCGTCAGTGCGAAACGGCGATGGTTCATCAGATTTGGATCATCGCCCCAGCTCGCTGCTTGGTCAGCGCAGCCCTAACTTTTTTCGTGGCCAATTCTCTGCCCGCAGTAGCAGTAGCAGTGCCATAAGTGGGGAATACCACGATCACCATCACCATGAAGGCTCACGCTATGAAGAGCATAAGGTTATTGTCGTTTAAAGGAAGAGATAAATACGTGCCAAGTTTGACCCAGAGATAAAAATTAAGATTACTTCAAATTCTGGGTGGTTGCCATTAGGCGCAATTTCTGTTGTGAACTCTATTGCAGCTTCGTTACAGCAAGTATTGATTGTCGTCAACCCGATCGCGGACACTCTACCCCATCCGAGGATCGGAACTTGACCTATCTGCCGTCGGAGGAACAACAATCGTTTGATGAGCATCTTTCTCTTATTGTTTGCGACAATAGCACACAGATAGTAGATCAAGGACTGTAAGCGCAAATCGTTAGCCTGATGGTGCTTACTTGATCCTCAATTGCATTGGTGTGACGCCAACAGGGGAGCTTTAACGTTGCTTCTTTTACAGCTCAACTGACTCCACACTGAGGTTGCTTGTACATAACATGCAACCTTCCACAAGAATTTCTTTCTGGGTAAGAAAAATTTAGAATGCAGTGGAGCTTCGAAAGAAGTAGCAGTGCGTTGCGCTAGCAGATGACACTAGGAGACCGCGATCGACAGTAAGAACTCATGTAGACTACCGATGTGAAAATTTCACATCGCAATTATTGAAGCGATTGATGCCTCATTTTTTCATTGTCCGGACAGGCTAATTACAATTCTCGTCCAGATGTCAAGGGAGGCAAAAGTGCACAACTCTTTGTAAAAAAAAAACGCTGCAGAGCGCCAGGACAAATTTGCGTTAGGAAAAAACTTTCGGCGTCCTGAATACTGTTTTCACTCAGTTCTATTACTAGGAAAGGATGTCAAAACATTCCAATTTCGAGTACATTTGCCGTGTAGCGAAGGCCAGACCGGCAGGTAGAGGCTCCACAGGCGCCAAAGGTGATGTACATCACCCAAGTTACAAAATAAAAGAGCTGTCGCTTAGCTGCTGAGCAGAACAGGGATACTTGCATATGTTAAATCAGCAGTAGAATCTTTTTTTTTCGCCCTGTGTGTCCGCTATATTATTTGTTAAAATGTGTGAGAGGTTGTGGAGGGATGAACGTTATACAAGGTAAGCCTACAAACGTTTTGCAGAGAATTGTCGGTTTCCATTCGACCAGCTAGGGAGGGCAGTGCTTGTTTCAGTTATGTCGAGGTCGATAAGAATCAATTCAAAAAGAATGACACGCTTCTAGAACTCACACCATGGTTTTTGGGAATAAAAATCAACTCTCGGGCTCTGTAGAGTGGTGAAACAAAAGAAGGGTCGTGCAATCAACTACGACGATCAACAGTATGCGGGGGCAAAAACAATGCCAAATTTTTACGGCTTTTGAGTGCTTCACTGGCCTTGGAAGCGTTGAAAATTGCTAAAGTCCAGACCTGTAGTAAAAAATATGATCTCATATTAGTCTGAATGCCAGGAGACAATTATCGACTGGTATTTGAAAGACATAAGGTGCCCCGCACATCAGACTTAGAAAGATTTTAGGAAGCAAATTTACTTTCGGTAAGCTCAAAAAGGTACGATCGCATGGTTGTGAAAATTAAACTTTCTCAACCGGTTAGCAGCAAACCTACAATCGCCTTGGGCAAGCAAAAGTGGCAGTACCGTGTTACGAAAATGAAACTGGACGTAAATTTTTAAATCACGGTCTTTCGATTCTCTGGTGTGATAATTAATGACTCTGTAAGCTAGGTCCACCAAAATGAAGTTTTTGATGGACGCATGATGATGACTGCGAGTGGTGGCGTTTATTCATGAGTAAATGGACCAGAGCGTCTGAAGGCAGCAATGATTTGAGCGAGCGTTGTTGGTGAGCACCGGCAACTGTCGCGACACGAAGAAGTAAACATGAGGATTTGAAGTATTGTTTATCCTTCCTACCATTTGAAGCTACTGCGAGCAAATAAAACCGTATTTAATACTTATCATTGGAGCTGTCAAGCTCCACAGACCTGTGGCATAATAGTTTATATACTCGCAAATGGACCATGATAGTTTTTGCCTGCGACGAAAGATTTATGCAGAACGGAAGATGGTATCGATTTCTTAACACAATCAAGGTGGGCCAACTTGGTGATTTATTTGTCTTGCAAACCTCTTTATTTTTCTTTCAGCTCAATCCAAAAGAAGCACCACTTTGAAAAATTGCATAATCTAAGCTTAAAGGGCAGTGTTTGCGCGAAGCAAACATGATATCATCAAGGACCCTACAATTTCCTAAATAAAACAGCCCATAGGCTTAAAGCGTTTTTACACCCTACTGAGAAGGAATTATCACGGATGCTGCCCCTGAAATTTGGAGTTTATCAGAGAAACATCATAATTCCTGGAACCCAAATTATGCGTACACCAATTGCCCTTATTATAGGAACAGTGCGACATCATGAACGCTATTTTCGTTGCAAAGCACTTAATCGGTTTTGAGCTCTTAGCTTACCGATAACTTGAGATTCTTCAAGTGTTTCGAAGCTACATCATAGGGGTTTTATGAGACATTGCTTTGTCTTCAACATGTATTTGCATCCAAAACTTTAAGAAGCGGTATAATGTTATTGCTATATCAAGCTCACGTAGACCGCAAAACAGCCCCTACATTCTTTTCGAGACAATAAAAAGTTATAGCGTTACTTCTCTTTATAAAAACATTTAAAATTTCAACGACGTTCCTTACTTTAGAGACGGCAGACCCGGCATCTATCGCTAGGATCACAGCGTCCAAAAACATTTCACACGTTTGCGAATTCATTCTACGCATACCCTGCGTATTAGTTATGCACATTCTGTGTCCCAGCCATAGTGCATCACACTTGCTGCCTGTTCTTTGACCTCATTGAATTACTACTGTCGATATTGTTACAAACGTAGCCGAATCGATATCAGCGAGTAAAAAAGCTAAAGACCAGAGCCATATTCAGAGAAACACGGATGGCCAAACCATCAATCAAAAATGGAAGAAGTTTGTTACAGCATCCACTGCGAATCGTTACCGTTATCCAGTTTCTCTGCTCAAGCCCAACTAAATTAAATCCTTCACCGTAAGAGTATGGGACTGTCCGTCGTTGAAGCTATTTGCTTTTCTTAAGATGCTACAACCAAACAAGCATTGTGTTTTTTGTAAATTTCTGAGCAAGATTGCTCGCTCCGCTACTGTCAGCCACATCTTTTACACGAGAAATTTAGTCAATCTGTTTC